TTTGAGGCCCCCCCGGGGGGGGGGGGGGGTGGGGGGGCCCCGGGGGGGGGAGGGGGGGAGTTGTTTGCTTTTAGTCGCATTTTTTTTAAAATGTGGGGCTCAGCAGGAAGTCCAGGGTTTTTCTTATGTTTGTTTGCTTGCTTGTTAGTTTGAGACCTGTGTACCCTGGCTGTCCTGGAACTCGCTCTGTAGACCAGGCTGGCCTTGAACTCAGAGATCCGCCTGCTAAAGGCACGCACCACCACCGCCTGCTTGTTTATAAGGATTTCTAAGTTAGGTCCAGGGAAATGGCTTGGGGGGGGGGGTTGTGTCAGAACCCATGGAAAAGCCAACTGTAACAGCTTCCGCCAACACCTGCATTATGCCATACATAACTTTGTATTTTTTTTTACAAGGATAAAAAAAATTTTCTTCCCGGGTCAGAAGCAATACAATTAAAATAAAATAAAATGTCTCACTGCCCGCACCTGAGGCTAGTCTGGAGCGTTAGGGTGTGTGTGTGTCACTTAGTGCTTCAGAGGGGGGGGGGAGAGAGAGTGCCAGGCAAGGCAGGGTGGTATATATCCACAGCATGCCAACACTTTGAAGATGGCAGCAAGTCGATCAAGACGTCAAGGCTATCCTTGATGTAGAGAGTATGCGGGTAGCCTGAGCTACATAAAAGAGAAAGAGGGGATCTAGGTGATGGTGGCGCACGCCTTTAATCCCAGCACTCTGGAGCAGAGGCAGGTGGATCTCTGTGAGTTCAAAGCCAGTCTGATCTACAGAGTGAGTTCCAGGACAGCCAGAGCTACACAGAGCCCCTGTCTTGAAAAACAAAAAGGGGGTGGGAGAAGGGGAAGTGTAGGAAATAAAAACTGAACTGGGGGTGTGAGCATGGCTTTAGGTTATGGTTAAGGGTTAGTATGGGGGCCTGGGCTGGTGGCTGCCAAAGGCTTGGGAGTGTGGCCTCAGATCCCCGCCCAGGGAGACGGGAAGGCTGTTCTCAGTGTGCCCTCTGGTGGTCAGGATCGATATTGACCCACATTTAACCTCTAATTGAGGTCTAAAGCCACAGAGCTCCCAATCAAAGTGGGCTGTTTCATGATCCTCTCAGACTTTCTCAGCAACGGGGGGGGGGGGCACACCTGTCAGTTATCTCAGTACTGGGGGGTACACCTGTCAGTCATCTCAGCACCTGGAAAGTACACCTGTCAGTCATCTCAGCACTGGGGGACACACCTGTCAGTCATCTCAGCACTGGGGGACACACCTATCAGTCATCTCAGCACTGGGGGACACACCTGTCAGTCATCCCAGCACTGGGGGACACACACACCTGTCAGTCATCTCAGCACTGGGGGACACACACCTGTCAGTCATCTCAGCACTGGGGGGAAACACCTGTCAGTCATCTCAGCACTTGGGGGGGAGGTGACGGACACACACCTGTCCCTTCAGCACTCCTGAGACCAAAAGGCATCACAGTAAATGTGAGGCCAGCCTGGGATACAGGGAAACCTTTAAAATGAAGAGGGAGAGAAATGGCTCAGTGCACAAGAGCACTGGCAACTCTTGAAAAGAACCTGGGTTCAATTCTAAGCAACCACGCGGTGTCTCACAACCGTCTCCAGTTCCAGGGGATCCCCAGGCGGTTCACAGACATACGTGCAGTCAAAACTTGTATATCTATAAATTAGAAAAATACAGAAAGAGGGAGATGGAGAGATGGCGCGGCAGTTCAGAGTTCTTCCTTGCTCTTTAGAGGGCTGGGGTTCAGTTGCCAGCACCCCACTCAGGCAGCTCAAACCGTCTGCAACTCCAGCTCCAGGAGATCTGGCTCTTTTTCTGGCTCCGTTGGACACCTGTGAAGAGGTGTACATAACCCCAGACAGACACACAAATAGTTCAAAAGAAAAATAAAATCTTAACAGAAAGAGGAGAGAACAATTTAAACCTGATTTAGATCGCGAAGGACACTTTCTTGGGTATGTTTCACTAATGTCCAGGGGATTTTGTTGTTGTTTGTTGTTGTTTTTGGAGACAGGGTTTCTCTGTGAAGCACTGGCTGTCCTAGAACTCAATCAGTAGACCAGGTTGGCCTCTAACTATGAGTGCTGGGATTAAAGGAGTGGATCACCACACCCAGCTTTATTTTTTAATTATTTAATTAATCAATTAATTATACAAACGGACCACAATTTCCCCCTCCCTCCTCTCCTCCCAGTCCCCCCTCCCTATCTCTCCTCTTCCCATATCCCCCAATCCACTCCTCCTCCGTTTCTGTTCAGGAAAGAGCAGGTCTCCCATAAGTATCCACACAACTTGGCATTATCAAGTTGCAGTAAGACTAAGCACCCCCCATGTACTAAGACTGGACAAGGTGGCCAAATATGAGGAGTAGGGTCCCCAAAACCTGTAAAAGAGTCAGAGACAATGGGCATTGGTGGCACACGCCTTTAATCCCAGCACTTGGGAGGCAGAGG